ACACGTGAATAGAATGTATTCCTATTGATGAAAGATAAATTCTATAGTAGCAAGCGACCTGATATCACAACTTTAGGAAGCTTCTTTGTCATCTATTGATTCGCAATCCCTGCTTGTCCTCAGCACGTGATTTGCATGCCGATCAAAGCAAGGAGTCACAATGTGCCTCTCCCTTCAGAGTTTCCCTACCCATTAGGGGCCTCAAAGTCATAACGAGTTGCCTCGCTCTGGTAAGTTATGCGGAAGCTACCATTATTCTGTCGTCGGTCACATCGGCCAAGTGGCATCAGCTTGGATTGTGCTGCTCGATACAATCTGTTCATCAATCGTACTTTCCAGGCCGCAGCGCCTCATATAGAAAGAGCAATTGACAAACACCGTGAGTAAAATATGACCCAATTCTCTCGGGATTTACTAAGCAGCGATCGGCAGACAACGAAGAATATCTATTCAGATACACTTCCCGGAGATGGCTGGTAGATGAAAAACACCAACTTGAGCAACGATATGTAAAATTCAACATTGATCACCTCTGCTCACAAGCTGCATCGCTATTCAGTTCTGAAACAAGATGTATAGGCATCGCCAAAATGGAAGGGAACTTCAGCAAGGCTTTCCTTCTCACGATGGACGATGGCAATGAAGTCATAGCCAAGATTCCTTGCCCAAATGCTGGTCCGCCGGTACTGACAACCGAGTGCGAAGTGGCAACATTGAAGTTCTGTATGCTTTCTATGATTGCTATGAGTCGGAGCTTGAATATCTAATTGTATTGTCTAGTGCGATCTCATATATCAACTCCAGTTCCTCAAGTCTACGACTGGTCTTCAGACCCAACGAACCCCGTAGGTGCTGAGTATATTCTGATGGAAAAGATTCGCGGAGTACCACTAGCAGAGAAATGGAGGACCATGAACACATTGCAGCGGTATCGATTAATCGATAAGATCTTGGAAATGGAGAAGGTGCTCCAAAGTTTACAATTGCCCGCATATGGAGGTCTCTTCCTGCAGGAGTCTTTGCCATCCAGCTACCCACGCTGCCTCCTTCCCTCAGGTTTGGACCCGAATAAGCTATTCTGTATAGGTCCGTCAGTTGATCTATCTTACACTGTATCTGCTGACTCAAGTGGGAAAAATGCTGGGCCATGTGAGTAGTTCATCTTCTCATACTTCCTTAGGTTCTGACAATGTCAAGGGACATCGCTTTTGGAGTTCGCGCTCTCTGCACCATATCGAGAATCGGCTCGAATCCTAGCAAAATGTAATGATGTACGTACCGACTTGAATAGGTTTGGCAACAACCAGTCTATCAAAGAGTACAGCGATGTCTTACAAAAGATGCAACTCATATTGCCAGCACTTTCGCAGCATCCACGCGTTCAGGAATCGGCAGCGTCGACTGTCTGGCACACTGACTTGCACCTCGGAAACATATTCGTCTGCCCAGACGACCCCACGACAATAGAAGGCATAATCGATTGGCAGTCAGCCGAAGCAGCACCTCTATTTGTCCAGGCTCAGTTTCCAGAGTTTCTTCGACCGCCAAAAGGTTACCGTCCGGGACCCAACGTCCCCAAGTTACCAGATGATTTTGATGAGCTGGGTCCAGATGAAAAGGAATCGGCCAAGGAAGAGCATACATTAGCGATCCAATCCAAGTACTATGAGATATCGTGCCGCGCACACAACAAGCCAGTTTTCAATGCAATGGCCTTGGACCGATGCCTTTGGGAACCTTTCACGCGTTGCCAGCTTCCTTCGAATGGATCCTTAGTTCCACTACGGAACTCCTTAATACGCATTGCTGAGAACTGGGAGCTATTGGGGCTTTCGGGTAGCTCCCCAATCCAATTTAATGACGAGGAATTGAAGCGACATGAAGAACAAGTTCAATTTTACGAAGATAGCTTGTCTCTCTGGGATCTTGTCAAGGAGCAGCTTGGCACTGATAATACTGGATGGATCCATTCCGAAGACTGGGAATCGGTGAATAAAATGAACAAATGTCTGTATAATATGTTCATCGACACAATGAGTGAGGAGATCTCGGCAGAAGCAGCCGCGAAACGGTGGCCCTTTCTGCCGAAGGACGCCTGAGCTTCTAAACTTTAATGTCCGAAGCAGCGAACAGAAGCCATGGATATGATCGGATTACTAATATCCTTCGCAACCGTCCTTTAGCTACCAATGTCCAAAATAATTCCCTCCGCTCCATTCAGATTTAACAGTAATTGTGATGACACAGTCGACATCCAAGGAAATCACATATCTTGCCTAACTCCAAGACCTATCTGAAGGTTGAATGGACGCTACACAGTCTAACTTGCACCGCGCGCTGTAATGCCTCCCGCCACACTGCGAACCCGAACTGGCTGCTTCCCATGTAAGCCAGGTTCTTTGCATGCTAAAATCGGCTCTTGTTCACCAACCATATATAGGTCGAAAGCGTCGCAAGAAATGCGACGAGACTCATCCGCAGTGCAGCGCATGCATTCGAAACTCGCTGGACTGCAAGTGGCCCTCGGAGGATAATCAGCCCCCAGATGGCAGATCCCGGCATTCCCGGGGTACGAAGGCCATTATGCGCACAGTAGCGTCATCAGGAGTATCGCTAATGCAACTCCCTCCACTCATCATGATGCCGGCACCATTCTCATCATCCGAGTGCACCTACCTATATCGATATTTTGCCTCCACGATTTTACCCCGTTTTGTACAACGCAACTCGGTAGACAAAACACACATGCTCCGCCTCGCACCCCAATTCTCTCCTCTTTTTGGGGCAATGGTCGCTGTGGCCGGAATGCAGCTGCCGACCAAAGACCGGTGGCCGGCCCACCTTGCCCTTCAGAGCTATCTGCATGCAATCCATGCCATTCAGATGTCACTAACTGATATTACCAAAGCTGGCTGTGATGATCGGATTCTCGCAACTGTGTCCCTGCTCGCCTGCTTCGAGGCATGTATCCGATTTTCTATATTCTCATGTACGCAAGCTAACCTATACCACTGTAGTCCTGCCGATCAGATGCCATACCTACTGTCACGCCGCATGTCCAAGCCGCGGGCCTCCTACTTACCCAACGCCGACCATGCGAATATCGCACTAAGGCTGCGGCCACGTTTGATCGCATCTGCGTCGAGTCATTCTTATACCAAGCATGCCTCATGATGATATTTGACCCGTCACTTGATGCGCTCCCAGAGGATCGGAAGCAGCTGGGGCTCCCTCTTTATTTTGATAAGCCTACAAGCCCAGCCTCTGCCTCTGAACAGACTATTCTGCAGGCCTCTTACAAGTTCTTTCTTCTTATTGCGGACGTGACGAAATTGTCTCGGTTATCCAGACCGCTTGACAGCGCGGAAGTGACGAAGTGGCGAAGTCTAGATTGTGAATTGTCGCGCTGGAGTCACCTCATCTGTTCAGCCGACATGTCTCTCGCGCTATGCTACCTAGCACTTCAGATTTTACTCCAAAAGGTGAATCCAAACATTACCTCCAGCCAGCGAGTCCAGCGAGTGCAATCGTGCCTAGCAGGGGGTTTACACAGGGTACCTGCGTTGGAGATAGACATTTACCCGCCAATTTATCTGCTATGGCCCGTGGCTATCCTCGGGGCTGTTGCTGTAAGGCTCGAGGAGAGGGAAGTTGTGCGAGATGTTATCGCTTCAATATCTGCGGCAAAGCTAGGTGGACATGCAGCTTGGGTACAGAAAAGATTAGACCGAATCTGGACAGCCGTCAGTCCTGCGCCGGAAGAACCACAAGTCAGTCTTATTGGACTCCAGATTCTGCTTGATCAGGGGTGTTTTCAACCTCAGAAATTATCTATGCGAACAAGACCGTGATTCGCAGCTCTTCGAGACCATCAATCGACAGCGTTGTGCCGATGGACCGAATTTTGAAGATATTGTGTTGTGATTGGGTAAGAATTGGTCTAACAGACCCACAGAACAACAACCCACCAATCACGGATATTTGCGCCCTCCCCACAGCATCTGAAAGCATACTTACTAGTAGTATCCACAGTGTGAAAGACACTGCAGGGGTTTAACCAAAGCTCTATAAGAATGGGCATATTACCACCTTTCTCCCTGTTATTGTATCTTTTTTACGAAGTACCTTACAAAGTCCTCAAAATGACCAAGACAATTTCACCCCTCGCCGAAGCGCGCTACCGCGATTCAGAATCCTCCACCTTCCCTCTCCCAACCGACCTCTCAAACTCTCTCCCCAGTACCTTATCGACAATCCTCTCCCACCGATCCTGCCGTGCATTCCTCCCTTTCAAGCTCCCCGAAGGAACACTAGAAACTCTCATCACAGCAGCTCAAAGCGGCTCGACCTCCTCCCTTCTCCAAACGTGGGACGTCATCGCCATCCAAGACCCGGAGCATAAATCCAACATCGCAACGCTGGCAGCCGACCAAGACTTCATCCGTCAAGCTCCGTTATTCCTGGTATTCTGCCCGAACCTGCGCCGTCTCAAGAACCTGTCAGAGCAGTATGGTCACCAGGATGCCCCGGTGTTGGATAACATGAATATGTTCATCATGAGCACGGTGGATTCAGCCATCGCGGCGCAGAACGTTGCCATTGCGGCGGAATCACTAGGTCTGGGAATTTGTTATGTAGGTGCGCTCAGGCACAATGCAGATGAGGTCTGTAAACTGCTGAACCTGCCGCCGTTGACGTGGGGCGTGTTTGGAATGGCCGTTGGGTATCCGGATACAGAGAACAGGCGCTCTGGTAGGCGGATCAAACCGCGTTTGCCGATGCGAGAGGTACTTCATATGGAGCGGTGGAACGAGGAGGGGCAGAAGGATAATGTTGCATCCTATGATAAGGCACTGGGGACGTTCTATGAAGAAGAATCAAAGTTTGGGAGGAAGGCCTGGGGCGAGTTCGTTGCCGGCAGGGTTGCATCGCAAGCGCAGGGAGGGTGGGTGAACATTCGGAAGGTTATCGAGAAGCAAGGGTTCAAGCTTGAATAGTTAACCTACATACATACATACCCGATATCGCATATAGAGTAGAGAACCACAATCAATTCGCCAAATTCACCAACACCTTCATCGCATCATGCACCACCGCCCACCTCACCGTCGCCAACTGCTGCGCCATCGTCCTCACCAATCCCCTCGTATCATACTTCCCCCCGAGTGCTGCCATATCTCCCAAGCTGCCACACGTCGTCATGGCCACAATCAAACTCGCCAGATCCGTCGTAACCCTCTCCCCACTACCACTACCACCACCGTCACCATCTCCATTCACCCCACCGTGAAACGCCCAACAGGTCAGCGTCGCCAAATACAAACACCACGGGAAATGAAATGCATCCGTCTGCTCCCAGTCATGCAAGCTCAACACCGCTTCCTCCAACAACTTCGCTGCCTGTCTCGCAGCACCTAACGCTCCCTCCCCACCACCAAGTAACCACTTCCTCAACCCCCGTCGCGACCTCTCCCGATCCCCCTCCGTCACTGTCCTCCCCAGGATCCTCCCGGCCCCAGCAGCAACCTGCAAGTCGAGTATCTCTACCTGCAGCGCCAACCACGCTGCGCGATACAGCGCACAAGCCGCCATCTTCAGCCCCGTGAACACCCCTCCGGCTCCACCTCGTCTCGACCCACCCATGTCCTCCCCGGGATGCTGTCCGAAGTTCAACTTCATTGCCAGGCAATCAGCATCGAAATCTACTTTCCATAGATCATACGATCTCCCCATGCGTCGCGTCCAAGCACCCACTCTTTCGGGCGTCTCAGCACGTAACGTCGTCTGGTCCCGTCTTTTCAAGTCTGCTGAGACGGACATGAGTCCGTGTAGGACGACGATCCGTGCCAGGGTATTCAGATCGCGTGGCCGGGCCATCGCAGAGGGGGTAATGTATCCCTTTAGCACGGAGAGGAACATTCTTGGTGGTGGTTCCATAGATGCATGATGCGCCCAGTCACTCGCCGTGCACGCTTCCCATGAACTCTGGGAACAGGGCAGAGCGGATCTAATTTCGAACGCGGACATGCACAGGGACTGGGAGAAGAGGACTGCGTGCTGTGTATCCCACATGAAGCAGTGCAGGGCAACGCGCTTTTTCTGCTCGTCGTGCATGGCGGTACGCCAGAGGGTGTCGATATCCGTATCTGTGGTGGCAGTGCTGGGGTTGGGTGTGTGGCGAATGGCGCAGCAGTCGCTTCGTCGGATGAGTTTGATCAAGACGCAGTGGAAGAGCTGGGCGCGTTCGCGCTGTTTCGGCCCCGCGCGCATCTTCCCGAAGCAGTCGATTAGGAGCATGGCTTGTAGGACCCAGAGGTCGGGCTGCGGTGAGAAGTCGGCGTGGCAGAAGAGTTGGTTGCGGAGGGAGTCGTGGATGCCTACGGCGAGTTGGTGCGCTTCGCGGCTGCTGTAGGTGGCGCCCATGGAGAGGATGGCGGCGAGGAGGACTGGGGTGGTGGTGGATGGGGAGAAGGTGGGTTGGTGCAGGAGGGGATAGGTTGTGTTGAAGCGCGTGAAGAAGAGGTCGCTGTAGGATTGGAGGGAGGGGAGGGAGAGGAGAGGGGAGTCGAGTGGGGTGGGTTGGCCGTCGATGGTCAGGGGTGGTGCTTGGGCGATGAGGTTGAGGATGCCTTGACGGGCTTCTTCGGTGAGGATGGGGAGATGGGGCTGGGGGGTGGTTTGAAGGAGAGAGGGTGCGTCCATCCAGTCGAGGTTGATGGTGTCTGGTTGGGGGTCGAGGATGGGCGCGGAGAAGACGAGCGGGTCGCTGCGTTCGACGAAGGAGGCTGCTTGGAGGAGGACGGAGGAACCGTCGCGTTCGAGATATGATTTCGGATCATCGATAGGAGGGGCATCCTCGGCGAAGGTGACCATGTCTGGACCCAGTGGGAGGCCGAAGGGAGGGAAGGCGTCGTCCAGTGAGGCGACGTCGAACAGCCAGTTGTAGTTGTGGGTGGCCGCAAAGGGCATGTTGAAGTCGGTGGCTATTTGGTCAGCTGGAGATCGATCAAAAATGGTCTGGGAGGATGTACCAGTGTCAAGGCTGAAGAAGTCGCCCATTCCGTCCAGTCCGAGACTCCAGGAGCCATCTGCCGCATCAAACTGCCCCGGGATGGGCTCAACATAGGGCTCGAATGGCCCGCTGGGCATCATCGGAGCCAGGAGCGGATCGGGCTCGTCCAACGACATGGACGATGGGTCGCTCGCCGACGTCGGGGGCGACACAGGGGCACCATAGTCTTGGGCGCTGGTGACGGAAATGGACGAGGACGAGGCCGACGACGATGGAGGCAAGCTGTGACTGGCACGAGCACGCGACTGACGCTTCGGAGGGCGAGTAATGATGGTGCCATCTCCCGCACGGCGAGTGCGTTTTCTCGTCTCCAGCACTCCTTGGCCAGGGCCTCCAGCTTCCTCGTCACGTTTAGCATGGCGCATCAGATGGCGATCTGGCGGGTCAGACAGAGAGTCGAGATATCTTGCAGTAGCGCAGCACCTACTCAGTAGATCCGGACGGTGGAAATGCACGGAGCATCGCTCGCAGGTATAACCTTGTCTGGGCTGGTCATGATTGAGGGCATGGCGACGCAGATGCTCTGCGCGAGTAAAGGTCTTGCCGCAGTTGGGCCAGTGGCACACGTGGGACTTCATGGGGGGTCATGATATAGCGATATAGGAGAAGAATGCATGCAGGGACTCACATCCCGGGGATAAGACCTCATTTATCTGCGGTTCGGGTAGGCCGAAGCCGGTGATAAGCTGAAGGGGAAAAGAGGAGAAGCAGGAATGCGGACTGAAGATGCATATCGACGAATGACCTTCTGCGGGGACAAGGTTTCACTTATCGCTAACTAGTCCATTATTATTAATTCAGGAATGCCATCCCGGAGCTATCAATGAAATCACACCAATCGAGATAGGCCTATCTAGATCTTTAACCTTACAGAAAGTACCGCCAATCCGGACTCTTTTCTCCCTCTGCCAACTGACGTGTATCCACTTCTCCCGGACGCACTCTTCGGCCTTGTTGGCGATCGCGTCGCCCATTCTCCCGTCGCATCCACAGCCCCAGTGCGATCACCACCACAATACACACCCCGTTGCAGCAGCAGGTAGCAACCAACGTGGGAATATACCTACACTGTTAGTCGTCTCTAGGTTCCAGGTAGTTAGGCTACTTACTTCGGAGCGTATTGCGTGCGGAACGTCGCGGCACTTAAGATCCCCGCCAAATTGCCCAACCCTACAAAGAAACCCGTGTTGGCAGCACGCGAGTTCTCATGCATATTATTGTTGTTATGCCACGCATGCACGAGACACGATGGGATATATGACCCTGCTGCCATCAGAAAACAGGCGAAATATGACACTCCCTTGTGACTCAGGACATCGATTGTCGCCAGGATGACCATCCCGACTAGCGATATCACCAGCGAGAACACAATGTGGAATGTTCGCTCGCGGAAGTGATCCGACGACTTGGCCACACAGAGAAGTACCACCGCGCCTACCAGGTTTGGAGCGACCGTCCAGAGGTTTGTTTTGACTGTGGAAAATCCCAGTCGTTCGACAATCTATTCTGTTAGCTTCTTCTCTGGCTGTGAGCAAGTTCATGTCCTACCAACGGGAAAAAGTTCATCGCGGTCGCATATGCCACCGGATAAGTGAATGTAATGATGCACCAGATGGGGAACTTCCAGTCCTTCCATGTCTCGAATGCAACCTTCAAATCCAGTTTGGTGTCCACCTCGGCTGATGTGTCGCGCAGTAACCGTGCCGTTGCCGCAGCCCGTTCACGCTCGTTGAGAAACCATGCAGTGCGTGGATTCCCGGGCAACCAGAAAAACGAGATGATTCCCATGAGGAAGGTCATTGAACCTTCAATGATGAACAGCCATTGCCAGCCTTTCACAGCTGGATCGTGGATCTGAAACACGCCGAAGGAGATGAGTCCGCTGAAGGCGGATGCGAGCACCGCAAAGGACTGCATGATGGCCAGCCGGAAGCCCATCTCGCCTCGCGTGTAGAAGAGAGTCATATAAAATGTCGCCCCGGCAAAGAAGCCTGCCTCGAACACTCTGCCTCTGTTAGATCCCGATACAGCTGAAGGCAGGAAACTCACCCTAGGATCATCCGCACGGCGATCATCCCACCAAAGTCCTTGACGGCACATTGGCAGAGAGCGAGGATTCCCCAGACCACAGTCACTGACAAGTTAGCTGATATCGAAGGATACCAGAAGATTACCTACTAAAAGACAGCACATAGCGTCCGGAGTACCGCTTGAGAAGCAGATTCCATGGCAAGTCGCACAACCCGAAGGGGATGTAGAATAACAGCACCATCAACGAATAGTCATTCCCGACCAGGTGAATATCCTCGTCTAGACCATCAGTTTTGGCGTTTGCCAGGTTACTCTGATTCTATTAGCAGTGACCAGATAACTACAAGAAGATACTACATACGCGGTCCATGCAGTCAAAAAAGTACATCTACACTGTCAGTAGCTGGTCGCCGACTCGGACACCATGCTCACCAAACAGAGGAGTGGCAGGACGAAAAAGTCCACCTTTCGCACTGAAACAATCAGTATCTGTAGCAAGAAGTAATTCATTCTACTCACCATACGACCGTTCCGCATCACGGTCGATGTAGATACTACTCTCTCCAGACTTCATCGTAGGCTCGGCCGAAATGGCCTCCTTTTCGACGGTATCGGTGAAAGCCATTACGAGAATGAAACGCGGACAGGACAACCCTCATTTCAAATCCGATCATCTGCCAGCTGGCTGCATTCTATATACCAATGGCATTGTCTGCTATCTGTGTAACCTGCAAGGAGGCACAGGCATTGCCCGATTAGGCTACCCGTGCCGATCTGGGGTTATCGAGCTGCAGCTTCAGAATCCCGAGAGATAAGTGGCAAGAAGTGGCCATCTCTCAGCTTCTCCGCATTCTTATCACCCGACCTTTGCAAGCTTTATCGTTGCCCCATCCTACCCCCACTCTTGTCTATACCAGACCCCGAAAATGGAGGGAATGAGCAGGCCCCTCGGTCTTCTGTCCGAGATTGCACTCAGATTATGGATGATTACAGTCCACTGAAGCTGGATATATTCACCTGAGATACCAGAATAGCATCAAGTAACAAGCAACAACAATACCCAACGACACAATGGCTCCCAGCGCTCCCCCAATCCTTGATTTTTCCCCCTTCTACGGAGGCGACAGCGAGGCCAAGGCCCAACTGGTTGAGGCCGTCCGCAACTGCTGCCTCTACAATGGCTTCTTCCAGATCACCGGCCATCGCGTGCCACTCGACCTACAGCGTCGTGTTATGCGCTGTGCCGAGCGATTCTTCGACCTCCCGCTGGAAGAGAAGCTCAAGATCGATAAGAGTAACCATATCTTTTTATACTCCGTCCTTTTCATCACTAACCAAGATTTGGAATGCAGACAACAACAGTTTCAACCGCGGTTACGAACTCCTCCGCTCGCAGATGCTCGAAGTAGGCACCGGCCCCGAACTCAAAGAAGGCTTGTACATCGGCCAGGAAATCCCCGAAGATCATCCCTACTACATTCAGAAAAAGCTCAACAGCGGTCCGAACCAGTGGCCACCGACTGTGCCCGATAAGGAAGATTTCCAACGCACATCGATGGAATACTACAATGCGGTATTTGACTTGGCCAAGGACGTCCTGTCTCTTCTGGCTTTGACTTTGGATGTAAATGAGGATTACTTCGACCCACTCACCGACGGAGCGGTCGCAACTATGCGCATGCTGCATTATCCTGCGCAACCTAAGGATGCAGATGAGAAGCTAAACCGAGGTATTGGCGCACATACCGATTTCGGATGCATTACGCTGCTTCTGCAGGATGAGGTGGATGGATTGCAGGTTCTGGATGCACCTACTGGCCAGTGGCTTGATGTGGGTGCTATATCCCTGTTTTATTGTCAAATGGGCGTCATCTAACAGATCTGCGATGCAGGTTCAACCAGTTCCTGGTGCCTACGTAGTCAATCTCGGCAACCTGTTCATGCGCATGGCCAACGACCGGTACAAATCCAACATTCATCGCGTTATTAACAAGTCTGGCCGCGAGCGATACTCTATTCCGTTCTTCTTCAGTGGTAACCCTGATTACCTGTGCGAGTGTCTGCCCAACTGTCGCGCGGAGGGAGAGGCACCGAAGTATCCACCTATCACCGTTGAGGACATGGTGACGGCTTCGTATAAGGAGAGCTACGGACGGGCGGAGCAGTATAAAAAGGAGATGGAGGAGAAGGCGAAGCTGAAGATGGAGACGGCGCCAGCTACAGCGGCGGTGGGTGCCTGAATACTCATGTAATGGCTGTTGTATATTTGTCCATAGCTTGCTTGCTTCTAAGCCAATGAATTATGATTATCTTCTTGACCACACCATCATCTATACTCATGACATTATGCCTCGTAGCATCGTAAGTCCCCACAAACAATAAGCCCAACTTGTCGTTATTACTCTCTATTAACCCTCTAATTGATTACCAATCCTCGATAACCAGTGGCCGAATCTTCAGACTCAGAAGTGGAGGTGGAGGTCCAAACGGCAGCCACACAAGCTGGCACAGATAGCGATCCCCCACCCTTGACAATCGATAAGATACTATTGATGTCGTGTAACTGACTAGCCGTAATCAGCTGCGTCAGTAAGCCGGAACTGGTCCAGGCACCCGTACAGCAACCCTAATCCTACCTATGTCGAATCTTATTTGATCGCCAGTCTTATGCCATCATGCTCACAAAAATGCACACCCATTCATCAAAATGGACAGCATACAGCAGGAGAAAAAGCCTGACTCGGCTCAGCAATATGCCAACAGTATTGTGGGTGAGGAGAAGGGAGTCATACTGGATGACCCGGATGTGCAGCAGTTCTATGGCTCCTCTACTACAGAAGCATATCGGCTGAAGTCGGAGTTGGTGGGGAAGTGTATGGAGGAAATTGGGATGGGAAGGTGCGTTCTTGTCTTCGCCATTGTCGTCAGGTAGGGATTGAATACTGATGAGTGCAGATTTCAATGGAAGCTCTTCGTCGTGACAGGGTTTGGATGGATCGTGGATAACGTTCGTGTCGCTGTTCTACTATCAGGGATTGCTTCCACTAAAAACAGAGACATAGTTTGCATCACAAGGCATCAGCAGCGTTCAACCGCCTATTGAACTCGAGTTCCCCGGTATTGTCCAGGTCAGCTACAGCTCCGTTGCCTACTATACGGGCTTGATTCTCGGTGCTTCGTTCTGGGGTATCTCTAGCGACTTGATCGGCCGGAAGCCCGCGTTCAACTCGACCCTCCTGATTGCAGGTATCTTCCTGTGTGGTGCTGCAGGCACTGAAAGCTTTCTGGCCTTTAGCGCCATGTGGGCTGTCATCGGCACCGCAGCGGGTGGTAATGTCCCGGTAGATTCGATGATCTTTCTCGAGTTTGTTCCTGGGAGGTAGGTATTCCTTCAGTCTGTTGGTGTCAATGATACTAAATGAGGTTGGCTAGTCACCAATACCTCCTGACAGCCCTATCGGCCTGGTGGAACTTGGGCCAACTGATCGTGTCGCTCCTGGCCTGGGTCTTTCTCGCCAACTACAGCTGTCCAACCGATTCTACACCAGCAACATGTCATCGAAGTGAGAATATGGGATGGTATGTCCTGAGAGTTCTATCTGCTACTACCAAGCATCTAACAAATGCAGGAGATACACCCTAATCACCCTAGGTGCTCTATCCCTCGCCTTTACCGTCATCCGCATCTTCATCTTTAAGCTTCCCGAAACTCCCCGCTACCTCCTCTCCAAAGGCAAGGACCAAGCCGCCGTCGACTCCGTCAACTACGTCGCTCGCCAGAACGGAAAGCCAGAGCCTCTGAATATCGGCATGTTTCAGGAGATTGACGCCCGACTAGGAATTACCAATGAATCCAATACGTCTGCACAGGGCCCGGGTTTGACCACCAAGGAAATCATCAAGGAGAACATGAAAGACTTTCGGTCCACGCACTATCAGGCACTCTTTGCTACGAGAAAACTTGGTATCCATACTGGTATCGTCTGGCTTATTTGGCTGACAATTGGTAAGTACCGCACCCCCCCAATATACTTACCAGAAATATAAACTAACTATGCATGAAGGCATCGCCTATCCCCTCTACTTTAACTTCCTCCCCTCCTACCTCGCCACAAAATTCTCATCGGACGACTCCCTCTACACTACTTACAGAAACTACTGCATCGAGTCCGCTGTCGGCATCGTCGGGCCCCTCTCTGCAGCTTACTTCGTAACCACCTTCTTCGGTCGGCGGTGGATGATGGGCATTTCTTCCATCATCACGGGCGTCTTCCTCTTCGCATATGTGGGAGTCAGTAATCCAACTTCCAGTCTAGCATTCGCATGTATAACAGGCATTTTGGGGAATTTCGGTACGTGTACCCCAGTCCCTCATCTCTACAACTCTCCACATACTGATAATGTTGCAGAATACGCAATCATGTACGCCTTCACGCCGGAATCCTTTCCCGCTCCACATCGAGGAACAGGTACCGGCACTGCTGCTTCATTATTAAGGTTTGGTGGGCTCTGTGCTAGTTTGATTGCTTCGCAGACAGGGTTCACACCGGCGCCAATATATGCAAGTGCTGCATTATGGGTTGCTGTTGGGTTTGTCTGCTTTGGGTTACCATTTGAGACGCATGGGCATGCGGCTATTTAGATGTGTGGGATTGGTCATTGTGCACGCTAGGAAGTGGGTAGACTGTGGTATGGGAAATTAGGAAGGTCTTGGCCAGATCATGATGTACCAGGTTCCTGGGTTGCTTTGTCTTTGTATGGATTAGTTTGTGATTAGTACCGAGTCAGTTTCTTATGCACTGGCAGTAAATGTCTGATTTTCAAGTCATACTGTGGTCCTCTGCCAAGGTATCCACTTCGCCTAAATGAAGAGACCCCTGCCCCTCTACATCGATCAATGCAGCTGTCCATCTGCCCCTCTACTTTTCTTTATTCCTAGTCTCATCAGTCTCGGCCTGCTGGTGCGCTAGATCCTTACAGTTGTAGATCAGGCTTTTCTTCACCGTAATTCAAATAGTACAGCGATCTCCGTTCGTTTCCGTCTTCTTTATTCCCTCGAACTATCTAATAAATAGCGCCCGACTGCACGGTTCCGTCTCTAGCTTCTTTGTCCGTCGTCATTGCTTAGAAATGCAATCCACTGACTATGTATTCCTGTGTGTTGCTACGCTTAAGTTGCCCTTTCAAGCTCCTCCGCTTTTGGAAAAGATCGCTAATGTGTACGGAGTACAGTGGTCATCCACACCTACGGTACCGCCAAGTGTCTAACCATGGTTGAAAATTCGATCGTGTGGGTGATACTGTGGCACCCTAATCGAACGAAACGATCGTGGAGGAACTGAAAAAACCTAAGATCGTCAGTGGTGACCTTCACCTCACTATCTCGAGGAACATACGCCGTGCTTTGCAGTTGCATAACGAAGTCGACGTTCAATGTCCGATAGCAATTAACTAATTTAAGCTGCAGATCACCCAACAGCCACCATCTCTCCTCCCAACAGCCTGTCGTGATACGACTTACGAAAATCATCTGCCTCAAATTCGACAGCTTCAGACCCACTGAGATCCGCTTGTTTATGAGCTCTGACCATTGATGGATCAGGGGCGCCTCCCGACCGACCCAAACTTGAGAGCGGGATGGCTTCTGTTTTTATCATGGCGGCTGTCTCGGTCTCATCCCGAGCTATTGACATTTAGGGTTCGATTTCTTTCAAGCGCGTCTCACAAGTATTATCCAGCATTTTCCGTAATGAGCACACGTACGCAGTGTCGACACCAGACGACAAGATAAGCTTCCTCACCTCGTAGAGGATTTTCATCACAGGAGAACTCGTACGTCAACGTCAACGCCATCGTCCACAATGGCTTGGTGCGTCGCTCCTCGCTACCTCTTTTGGCATAAAAACGTCAATCCGGTGCCGCGTGGGTCGCGATCAGCGTGTCTGGAACACCTGCCCCGATGCCGAGATACGAAATAGAATCCACACTTGTGCTCATAGCAGCATGCCGTTGGCACTGATAGAGTTCACCGGACTGACTTCCGCTTCGTCTTGGCCGCTGCCGCTGTCTCGTTCCCCGGATCGTGGCTCTAGCGCACGCGGTAGAACTAACCTTCACCCCTGTATCCAACACACGTCCAATAAAAGCCTGTCACTTGAAGTTAGCATTTCGCTCTAAAATTGCCTTGGGTGTCGGTCAGGAAATCTCTTTTAGATGGATGCCCTTGGCATTACAGAATATGAATGATTTGCATCCTCGCGTGCCCCTTTCTGCTCTGCAGAAGCACCGACCCGGTAATGAGTTATAAAATTACTATGCGCACTATTTTCGCAGTGTCGCCGCCTCCTCGGTACTCAGCCTGAGTACATCCAGTCTGGCATTTCATCATGGCTAACGGGGATACAGAGGCGTTCACCCTCCTGTCGTTGGGGCTGCTCTTTATCATCGTACGAATCTATGTCCGCTGGTCGCAAGTCGGCGGGCCCCTGAACTTTGCCGTCGATGACTATCTGATGCCATTGGCAGGTGTATGTTTTTCTACACCGACATTCTGACCATTCTGTCTGACTGATGCAGGCCGTCTTTATCGGCGAAACCGTCGCAGCGCATCTTGTCCGCAGCAAATTCAACGGTCTCACGAACAGCTACATGACCGACGAGCAACGAGCGGCCGTGGACCCGTCCTCGAAAGAGTACTACGATCGGCAATGGGGATCTAAGATCCAGGTCATTGGATGGTCCTTGTACGCCATGATTCTGTGGTTGATCAAGTTCTGCGTCGCCATTTACTACTCGCGCCTCACGTATGGCATCAGCTCCGATCTCATGTCGACGAAACTAACTGACCATCTAGATCTGGATTGAACCACCTTCCCGCACGAGTTCGCTTCGCGTACGTCCTCCTCGGCGTGACCTATCTCGCCGTGGGTCTGACCATCGTGCTGGGCTGTCAACCCATGCACAAGAACTGGCAAATCAACCCCAACCCGGGCAGTATGTCTCTTACTCTCTTTTTGTCGCAGCTATCCCCGTTGGGATCTTCAATTAACTGGCTCCTAACTTAGACATTTGCCAACCGACCAAATCGACCCTCAGTGTCCTCATCGTCGTCATCCCGAACGTTATAACCGATCTGTACCTCATGTCCATACCACTGCCGCTCCTCTGGGCCGTCAAGATCAGCATCCGCCAGAAGCTCACACTTATGGCTCTTTTCAGCAGCGCAGCCTTTATCATCATGGCGGGCATCATCCGCGCCGTGACTATCTTGACGGTATGATCCCCATCACCCACTACCGTCCCACAGTTCATCAAACAAATAACTAACGACCGCAGGCCGGCCCCGACGGCGCCGTCGCAGGAAGTCAATGGGCATGTCGCGAGACATTCGTCTCCATTGTCGTGGCCAATCTCCCCATCATACAACCTCTGCTTCGCAAGGGAGCAAGCAAGATCGGACTTAGCGTGCTGTTCAGTTCAGCGAGAGGGGGAACGGGCAGTTACGGTCGGAGACGGGGCGAGTCGTATCCGCTGGCTAGTCGGGAAGGGAATACACAGACTGCTACGAAGAAGTCTCGTACGAGGTTGTCTGTGCATGAAGGGACCATTACAGCCGGGTATGGAAGTGATGAGGAGGGCCTGGTGGGTACGGGCAAGAAGGGCAAGATGCGTGATATTACGGTGACTCAGGAGACTGTGATTGAGACGGAGCCGGCAGGGAAGGAGCCGGAGGGGACTGGAAGGTTTGATTGGGGGAGGAGGGAGTAATGGATTATATTTAATGATGGAGTATGGATATGGAATTAATGATGGGCGGAGTTGGGATGGGCTATGGATATACATACACTTAATCACTCAATGATAGTACGAATAGGAATATTATACAGAACTTAACACATCATAATAATATATAAGAACAGATCACCATCACTTAGCAGGGAGTGGGCAGATAATTTATTGATGAGAGACAAGGTCGTTGGCAACACTCTTCTCAGCGATACTTAAAGCTTTTCGTCCAAGTTGATTGAGCGATTTTTAGAGAGATATGACTGATTCAGAACCTTTCTGTTCTATTTGATTTTGGTAAATCAAATGTGAAGGATTGTATCTTCACCTTGCAGTCACTGATTTCTTACCCTAATACACTGAAGGGGTGAAGAGTCACCATTTCCACTGATGTGATGCTTTGTCGGCTGTGCCACTCACCGATTCCCTAATCATCCATGGAGATGTCAATGCTTAAAAAATTCCTATACAAAACCCGGTAGTATCGAACGGTCTACTGTTGATAGTTGTAGTAATGATGCTATCGAAGGTCCTGTGGTGGGTATACTACGACGATCTCCTGCAATTTTATATGTCAGTCCTAGACTTATTGTAAGGTCATATAAGAAGAGGCGATATTACTACAGCTCTACTTTCTTGATACATAAATCAATTTCCGGCAATCAGCTCCTCATACTCAGGCAACTTCCACCCACCCACCTCCTCACTCCCCATCCTATCCAACAACTCCGGGATTCCCAAGAAACACATCACAGCCGCAAACCAATGCAGCAACCAGATCCCCCACCACGAAGTCGGGAAGAACAACCTCACCATTGACGTCTTCAACTTCTGAATCTCCTTCACAAACGGCCTCAAAGTAGCATCATAGTTCTTCAACGCCGCTCCCACATCCCCCGCATGTCTGTTAATCTCCCCAGCCAAGACATACGCCCCAACAAGACATCCCGTCGTCCCCATCCCCGTCACCACAGCCGGGCACGCAGCCGCATCACCCAACAACACCACCCGCCCCTTATACCACGTCTCGGTCTTCACTTGCACTATCTCCTGTGAGTAGAAATTATCTGTCGTTTTCATCCCCTCGATAAACCGCTCCGTCTGCCATCCCGCCCCGCGGTACCGCTGTATCCAGAACTCCTTCTGCGCGTCCACTGACGCGCGGTGAATAGACGCAAGCGACGGGTCGTCGGCTTTCAGCATGAAATACACCTGAGACGTCGTGGGACTGTGACTCCGGCGGAATATCGCCCGCCCACCGGGAGACACATACGTCGTGAAGGTATTGGTATCTCCTTTCTCTCGCGGAACGAACCAGTATGCTGCGTGGATACCGAGATGAAGATACGGATCAGCTGCATCTGGTGGCAGAATCCCCCGTCTGATTCGCGAGCCCTGACCATCTGCACCGACCAGCAGATCAAACGACTCCGACGTCCCATTCGAAAAGTACGCTGTTACTTTCTCATCGTCTTGCTCGAAGCGCTCCACGGTCGTGTTGAACCTATACTCCACATTATTCTTGGTAGCGTCGTATAATATCCGGACCAGGTCGCCCCGCATAATCTCAAATTCGGACGATAGGGACTGCGATCCATGTCCAGATGTATTTGGTCGGATTAGAGCCGTGACGTGGTCGTTGCCGTCGACGAGGGCGAAGCCGTCTTCGTGGACACAGTGCTGGCGGATGGTGTCGAGCAAATCCATTCGTCGGACTACTTCAATACCTTGCTCACGGAGGTCGATTTGCGCTCCTTTGTCACGTAACTGGGGGAAGCGTTCCACTACCACGACTTGGTGATTGGTTCGGGATAGCCAGAAGGCGAGGGCGGGGCCGGCACAGCCGCCGCCGCAGATGAGGACTTTCATTTTGTTTTTTTGATGAGGAGGATGAGCTAGGTAGTTGTTCTTTTTGGGATGTGTCATGGGCTGCATGTCGCGGGTTAAATAAATCATATCGGTTGAAGGGCCCGGACCCCCGTCAACGGAAATTCGGAGCGCGAGAACATGACGGCACAGCATGCTGCTGATGTTATTGGATACTTGATTCTGGTCCGGATCGGGGGTGGATCGTGAGTGCTGCATTTTGCAAGCCCCGCATATGACAGGGCTATGGAGGGTCGGTGGTGAAGGGTGAGACGGGTAGTTGGCTGGCTTGACGTGGGTCGACTCATGCAGGCGTCCGAGTGAGATTTTATGAATCATGCTGTGTCTGATGACCATGCCATTTTGCTGGTTAACCTACTCTGTACAAAGCAGCCACTATCTGTTGTTCTGTCAGAGAAATGTTCTGCCTGTTGATGTATCACAAACAGCACAGCCAGCTGTCCGAATGCGGAGATGTTGATGGCTTCGGCATGTTTACACTCCGTGCGCAGGTGGTGCTGACCAATATTGTAGTGTGTTCTTTTCTAACCAGCTACTGCGTCAATTAACATCTGAACTTTTATTAGAACTGCTATTGCCAGGGTATAGAAGTATGGTGTGGCTTTTTGACACCGGCGTCATGTCCGGTCGGCATAGTTTCTAGCTCCGGGCGAGGAACGGAAGGTCCGCGGATACGCGCCCGTGGATAATCAATGTCTATTAAGAAGAACAGCCAAGCCCTTATTCCAAGATATTCTTGCTAATGTGGACACATCAGCCACTTGAATGAGCACTGGGGAATATAATAAATTGGGGGTCTACCAAATGTGATGAAACTATACACATCAATGCTTTTGCTCAATTCAGGGGGTTCTCTCTTTCTCTCATGGCTTCCAAATTTCGTCCAGCAAGCACCATGTTAACCAGCTACTCACAATTCTCTAATGGAAGTGCCCATCAACGGAGAGTTGATGTTATAACCACATGCTAGCTGTCTATTCACACTCTTTCAGTCACAACTATAACATGCAAGTGGCAGTATTCCAGGGATCTGCATTTAGAGCATCCTTTTCGGGCTTCATACTAGCCGCTACTGATACTAATGACCGCCATTTTATGATGAAGCTAACTAGTACAAAGTACTCGGGTAACCCCTCTCCCCACACCCCCGTTATGCCTCTACATATATCGCGTCTCCACGGTGAGTACACAGTAAAGCTATTCATCCATCGGCATCGGCAACCCCCCTCGGAAGCCCGAATCGCCGTCTCCACAATCTATCATCAACAACCCCTCACTTTCACCCCCTCATCCTCTCCCTCCCTTCATCTTTACACCAACACCCAAACCCACCATCACCCAAACAATACAAAACAAGAAAAAAGCCTATTGCCAAACAACATGTCCTCCACCCTCCACCCCGTCTTCCGCCCCGGCGCAACAGCCCTCATCACCGGCGCCGCCTCAGGCATCGGCCTAGCCACAGCCCAGTTCTGCCGCACGCACGGCATGAACCTCATCCTGGTCGACAACAACCAAGAAGCCCTCAAAACAGCAGCATCAACTCTCCCCTCCACCACCTCCTCCACCACAACATCCACCCACCCCATCGACGTCTCCAACCCCTCCGACTGGCAATCCCTCCACACCTCCACCACCCCCACCCACCCAAATGGAATTGACCTCCTCTTCCTCAACGCGGGCACCATGGTCCAACCCACAGAAGGCAAAACTGCCTGGACAGACCCATCCTACTTCCAACGAACCCTCGCAGTAAACACACTAGGCTATACGAACGGCATAGCGACATTTCTCGACGACATGACCCGCGACACTACATCCCCGCGCGCTATTATCCTGACGGGGTCCAAACAGGGTATTACCAACCCGCCCGGCAACCCGGCGTATAATGCCTCCAAAGCCGCGGTGAAGAGTATTGCCGAGCAGTTGAGTTATAGTCTGTATGAGAAACATCCCAATGTTGGGGTGCATTTGCTGGTTCCGGGGTTTACGTACACCGGGATGGTGAGGAGGCACTTTAAGGAGAAGCCGGATGGGGCGTGGTTGCCCGAGCAGGTGGTGGAGTTTTTGAGTAAGGGGATGGCCGAGGGGAGGTTTTATATTGTTTGTCCCGATGGTGAGGTTTCCGAGGAGTTGGATAAGAGGAGGATGTTGTGGTCGTGTGGGGATGTGGTTCATGGGAGGCCCGCGTTGACGAGGTGGAGGGCGGATTGGAAGGAGAGGGCGGCCAAGGGGATTGAGGAGATGAAGATTGGGGAGTAGTTGGTCTGGATCAGTGGTATCTAGATGTAGCGGTACGGTGGACGGTGAGTTTCGAATTGAAATCAACATTCAGATTGTCTGTGGGACGGCCTTGCAGTCTGTCTATAGGAAATCTAACACAACAGTAAGTTCAAAAAGTTGCCATGTAAAGTATCTACTACCCTCCTTCATTCTCTCATCAAGGTTTAGAATCTCTTTTTATCCGTGATCAATTCCAACAAAGCCCTCTGAAGCCGAGCAACCCCATCGTCCGATATCTGGTGGTGGAAGGCCAGTCGCCCGTTAGGGAATACCAACAAACCCTGCTGCTTGCAGTAGAACACAATATCATCTCCCGTAATGCCCGTTTTCTTCAAATCGAGAACTATCATGTTAGTGTCCACTGGCATGAGGAACTCGTACCCGATCCGATGGAGATAGTCGGCCACGCGCCGTGTGAGGGCATGCACTTTCGGGAGTAGGGGCAAAGTGTGCTCCATCGCAGCGGTGGCAGCAGCAGCCATCATTCCAGTCTAAATCATTAGTATCTCTACTTTTGAATTCTTCTGGACTGCACTGGAATTTACCTGTCGAGTTGCGCCTCCGAACATCTTCCGGAACCACTTGGCGCGGTCGATGAACTCACGAGTACCAACAATAACACTGCCCATTGGAGCACCACAACCCTTGGAAATACAGATGCTGGCACTGTCAAAACAGTCAAGGTATTCGCGGGCGGAGACGCCCTCTGCAGTTATACCTTCCAGCAACCGGGCTCCATCAAGATGCATGGCGATGGGGGTCCGGCCTGGCGGCACACGAACCCTGCGGACGTAGTTCGAAATTTCTCTGGCGTGTTTCAACGGGAGGATCGAACCACTCAGGGTGTTTTCGAGGGAGACAACTCGGGTAGGGGGGAAGTGGACTGCGACAGTATTAGCAAAAATAGGGCTCTTTTGGGGAGAGTTTCCTTACAATTTCCTTCCTCGATGATCCGATCCTTCACATCGTCCAGGGTCAAGTGGACACCGTTCTTCGGCTCAACGCTCGTCACTGTCGCCTGGGACAAAACGGGGATTGCACCAGTCTCCCAGATTTGGACGTGCGCACGGTAGTCAAGAAGAATCGTATGCGGCGGCTGGTGCAGATGAGTGCGCAGACAGATCTGGTTGCCTTGGGTGCCGGATACGACGAAGAGCGCTGCCTCCTTGCCGGTCAGTGCTTTGATCTTGTCCTGGAAATCATTCAGTGTTGCATCTCCTTCCTCGTCGTAGATGTCATCCCCAAAGGTCGAGGCATTCACAATGGCCTGAAGAATTAAGTCAGCAGTTGTCTGGACTCACACGTGTGAGACACACCTCCATCACGGCCTCAGTAGGAACGGTCACAGTATCAGACCGGAAATCTTTTCCGGCCCGCTCAATGGCTCGTTCAAGGGCCCCTGATATGGCACTCTTGGCTGTAAATCCATTCATGCCATTTGTCTGCTTTGGCGAGAAATGTAAGTCTCTGCAGAGACTCGACTGGTGCTCATGGCCCCTTGTGAGCGTCTTCCCAATCTTCAGCACGGCTCGTCCTTTCATCGTTCCTGGAAGACGTCAGTAACGGACGTGGTATAAGCACAGTTGAACGTAGCTTTTTCCATCTGATCGTAGATGTTTGGAAGTTCAGAGAAATCCACAACTTCGTACTGAACGCTAATACCGGCCTTGATGATGATAGCAAGTGCTTCCTCCGTTTCATCTCTGTTCCCCACGTAGGAACCTTTGATGTTGATTCTCTGTGTAACCATATGGAAAAGATCGGTGCAGATCTTTCCAGGAGGGAGACCGACAGCCACGATTGTTCCGCCAGGGCGAATGTACTTGATGACATATCAGCTTCTCTTCAGGAAATTAAAGAGACGTTCAAATCACCTGTGTAGCCTGGTGGAACGGCTCTTCCACGGATGAGACTATCATCGCAGCATGCGGTCCGCCCCCGGTGACGCGCTTCACCTCCTCTGCGACGTCCGGCGACTTGTAATCGACGAAGTAATCCGCTCCAAGATCGTATAAACACATTTGCCTCTTAGCGGCCCCAGAAGACAAAGCAAGGACCTTGTGTCCGCATGCCTTGGCATATTGACAAGCCAAGGATCCCAATCCTCCGCCAGCGCCAACAATGGCTAGTCGCTTGAATCAGCGGTGATGAATCAGTCGGCAAAGCCAAAATTATACTTACCGATTATCTCTCCTGGTCGGACTTCACTTTCCTTGAGAGCCTTGTATACGGTAATTCCGGCACAAAGAACCTAGACGGTGGACTGAGTTAGACCGCCATTTCGAAGTGGACAGTCGCAAACATACCGGAGCAGCAGCCTCTAGCGAAATGCCGGACGGAATGCGCACTGCATTGTCAGCCTTGCAAATACAATACTGTTGGAAGGTCCCATCGACCATATACCCCGACAACTGAAGCTCAGGACAGATTGGCTGTCTCCCGGTAGAGCAGAACTCGCACACGCCGCAAGTTCTGTTAATCCACTAGCATGCCATTACTCTTGGTTCTCTGCTAAGTCATACGAAGAAAACATACCTGTATTCCGACGGTGTCTCCAATGCGAAGGCCGTTCACCTGCGAGCCGACGGCGGCAACCAATCCAACACCCTCGTGCCCGCCTAGTCATGGTTGGAACCAGTTCGATATATTGGGCAAGGTGCAACATACCGACGAGATTGCTTTTTGGGGTAGCAGGAAAGTCCCCTAAGCTGATGAGCAATGATACTTAGAGCCGAGATCAAAGCAGTCCAACCTTTCCAGGCATGGAGGTCTGTGTGGCAGACTCCGGAGTATTCCATTTGGACCAGCACTTCATCGGGGCCTGGGTTCCCAACTGGGATCTCTTTGAGTTCGATAGCTGTACTTCTTAGCATGACTCTGCTAGCAACTATTGATGTCCATACTGTCACCCCGGGTTCTAAATACATGGGCCCACTGCGTGGTGGGGAGCGATTGGTAGTTTGTCCAGAGAGACATGTTGCGATGGAGCGTTGAGTGACTTGAGATGGTTCTAGATAGAAATTTCGTTGTAAGAAGTGTCTGCCATTAGTCAAAATCGGAGGGCGACGTATCTGCTTTTAAGTTATAACATACTCGATATATGGAGGCTGAACAGCAACTTAGCCTGCTATGGATAGCTTACAGTTGGACACTACTCCTTTTAGCTACCTACATTGGCGTAGATAAGTACCCTTGCAGCTCTTGTTCACGTAGAATCAACTTCATTCGTCGGTAGTCTTTCTCCTTTCCCATAACCAGGAATTGCTGCCTTTGAGAACGATCCCAGTATAGCTTAGCTGCTAGAAGAGTTCACTCCCATTGTTCTCGTGTCTCTGTAGAGGATCCTGAGACACCATGGGGCTATAGAGCTGACGTATGAGGCTTTGGGCCATGGCACATACACAGTGAGACGAAACCTATATGAGCAGCTCTGTAAGCGCACAATGACGACAGTTAGATGTTCAGTATCGTTGCTTGGCATCCATTTCTAAGGTAAGCACATAGAGAACCAACTAGAATGTCAATATGCGTGTAATTTCTGTTGCTTCATCGGCTCGTGGTTGGAATTGAACGATTACTTGATAAAAATGCCACGGACATATTGCATCTTGCGTAGGATTGTGTGACATGGTGATGACTATTGCGTCAGACTGTTTAAATTGCGACATATATGCTCATAGACGAACTATTACTGGCCAGACGTAAGTATCAGTCTAGAAAGAGGCTGGTCTGGGATTTTCGGAGGCGATTGTCTTATCGAGCAGCAATCGTGTACATAGGCTGATCCCTTAACCACGTAACTATCTGCCTCCACTCGAGGTACAGATAAACACGATGCAAGACGTGTCCTAGTCATAATTACTTCCTTCCAGGAGCGAAGCTAATGATACCGGAACTATAAACGAACAGGCGTGCTCTGCAACTGCGGAAAGTATCGCTAGTCCAGATCCGATTCCGGTATCTGTCCAGTGAAGAGCATCTGAAACATTTGCAAGGAGGTAACTCGTTGTGCAACGTACGATCTAGTCGATTCAAGGCTTCAACCGGTCTGCGGTACAACCATGAGCCCAATAATGGATATGTTCCATGTATCGCGCAGAACGAATAAGTTGTTATCGGACGTGGTGCATAAACATAGGACTACATATCCGGCTTGCTGAAATATCAACCTGATTGCAGTTCTGGCTCAGGTTGACCATCTCCCACGATCGTAGCAAAGCACCCTTGCTTGGGTAGTTGTATCGTCCTACCATGAGTTGATGGCACGACAGAATATGTGAGGGGTTGATTGACCCGGGCTGCGCTGGAGGCGGTCGCACCCATTGACAGATCGTCAACTGCATGAAATTCGCCGTAGAATAACCACTAAGCTTATCTTCATGGGCCACGGTTGTGGCTCTCAATAGCCATCGATAATCGAACAGTAGAGATCTCAGTGTACATACCCGTCCTTGGGCGGTATGCTATTGTTATAACCTCTGATCAGCGTCAAAGGCCAACCAAGTACAGCATTGCAGACAGCGTCAGTTATCTCATAAAGACAACGATATCAAGACAATTGAATCCTGAGACCCGGTCGGGATGGGCCCGTCTTACTACGACGTGAGAAAGAGAATTCCGGATCCGCGGGTGTGATTAAAACCTTGCTGCCAAGTCAATATGTAAGATCCGCAATGTGCATTTGTTTCCGACAAGCCATTGCCACCGAAACGAAGATTCTTCAGCTCTCGCTGGATTCTTGACCAAACAGACCTTGAGTTCTGCGGCCCGCCGTAAGGAAGTTGGGGATGCTCGCCCCCTTGCAGTCATAACTTGCGAAGCCGCTTTAGCACAGCGACCAGTCAACGAGTAAAAAGTAAATCGACGAATATTTTGCAGCCTTCCAAGCGAATGGTAGCGTTGGTGATTTTCATTGCTGGAAAGGTGTGTCTACAAATGATCCGAGCGTTGCCTCCTTCCTTGCTATCAATTTCTTTCACCAAAGGCTGTAAAATCAGATAAAAGCCTTTCCGGAAGAAGGGTCATGTACATTAGCTATGTGTCTATAGCGTTAGTCTATGATTGCTTTGATGCATTTCTTTTACAATACCCAAACCGGGGGTTCTCGTGACAAGTTTTCTTTGGCATTTCCATGCCCAAGGCAGGTGTCTGGTTCGGTGGCAGTTCTTTTCTTAATCCCTCATTGCTTCATGTGAATTTGATGACCTGTAAGTAAAATAATTATTGTTAATAATCTCAGACATTCTAGTCACATAAATAGCAGATAAGGCCACGTACTATGAATGATTGCTATCCCCCTACTATTGCCGGCGAGTGATAGTATCTAAGTCACATATGATTGCCGCAGTTATAATTGAAGTATACACATGCTCTCATTTATATATACATGTCCGCAGTTGACTAACTATAACACAATTTCAATGATCATTGTTGGGTTTTTTCAGCCGCGCATAAACCAAGCAGTAGCAGCCCCGACCAACGTAAAGGCCGCCGCCCATCTCACTAGCCCACGCTTAATATGATACTGCGCAACCTGATCAATAGCTTTGGAGTCGTTAATCCGTGGGAATGGAACATCAGGTATATCCTTCCCCAGTGCCTTGCAAAGAGGCTCCCATCCTTCCCGCACATCGTAGAACACCAGACGATCCTCGGGCACTATCTCCTTCAACCACGCAATGTGCCGATGCCATATGATATCAAACGCGCGCTCATTGTTATACACCTTATCCCACTGTGCTTGCAAGACCGAGATATACTCGACAAAGTGCCGCATCCCAGGGAGGGGGAGGAGAACAGCGCGTAGAAACCACAATGTAGCCAATCCCTCAATCTGGGCCATGCTCTTGACCCATGCATCAGGGTCGCGAACTGTACAGATGACCTTGCTGTCGGGATAAATCTCCAGGAGCTCTGGCACGAACTGAGTGCCAGGAGCGTCCGTTATAGCAACGTAGCCATCTGTGCGGTCTTTCATCATGGCAAGAACCTTCCGGTGATTGTTGCCTGATAGCCAGTCGCGTAGAATAGTAATCCATGATTTAATCTCGGTTGACGGGCCCATTGTTATCTGTGTACCGCCATGGTAGACAGGTCCGTCGAGGAGGATGTTCAAAGCGGCGCTGAAGGATGCCGTACCGGTGCGAGAGAGACCTGCACCTATGACTTGAAATTTGGCCCCTGGTTGAGGGACTGATGCTTTTTGACCCATAGTGATGGTTGCACTATCACTATGAATTCGAGTCTGGGGCGCGTATTTTCGGGTCAAAAACAATTATTTGTAAGGCACTTGAAGTCTCGAGAAATTGGATGCTAATGAAGTAGAATTCTATTAAGGAAGGGGGGTTGCAAGCTAATTATAATAGCGTGAGGCTGTGTCGATCGAATGGATCAGTGCTGGACAAGCAAAATTTAATCAATCGCTGGCAATCCTGCGTTGGTCGCTAAGTGTTAGTGCTTACACTAAGCCTCTCTTATTGCGTCGAACTAGGAAGAAACAGAATTAGAGGCTCACGTAGCCTCTGAAAACGATTGGGTGAATCGCTTAAATGGACTCCAGAGATATAAATGCCTTTCTTTGTTGCCATAACGAGGTTTGTTGGGGGCCAAAAGGCGGTGGTAATTTAGGCTTGATATAAGCAAATGATTTGGAAGCATAAGTCAAGCTCATTACTTTCTTAGAAACCAGAAAGATCCATAAAATGTACATTTTTCTTTTTCCTCATTAACTTATCCGGCTCTTCTCTCCTGTATTATATCATCATGTTGATGATGCTAAGGTATTGGTAGAGTGGTTTATATATGAATAAAATCAAAAATAAGTTTACCAAAAAGAAAGATCTTTCATAAAAATTCATAATTCACTTTTCTTCATGAAAGTTGAAGTTTTAGTGATGTTGCTTGTTTTAGTAGAGTAATAGAGTTGGCAGTAGGGCGACTTTACCCCATGGGAATATATATCTTCAATTGATTCTGGATCAGGACGAAATGATTGTAACTATGTACTACTTACAAACCGTTCTCTCGAAGTGAAACCCAGGAAAGTTGAATCCTTTTTTTCTTCTTTTGGCAACTGTATAAAATGATACACAACTGAAGCAATAGACTGTATTATTCATGATACAAGAGGTGTGCTGCCTAGCATCATCAGGCAGAAGTCCCGAATGTAACCGTTTGACTGGGCTTGGCGTCACACGAATGCCAATCAGAGCAGATTTAAAATACAGATGAATACAGATGGGGAGGGAATGACTCAGATGGGAAGGGCACAACAACATGATGTTGCTAGATAAAAGCCTTGACCATGCATACCAACTGAAGCTACATATCATAATTAATTTTTACTTTTGTCTCCTCAATTGACATTGAAAGTATCAGCCACAGAGTTGTCGCTGAGAGGCCGATAAGATAAGCGATAAGATAAAGAAGTCACCTGACCTACAGGCCCACCGCTTCGGGAGGGTCACAAATCGAACTTTTTTTCGCCTCATTCTTCGACTCTTTGCTCCGCGGTATCGCTCACGTCCCCTTGTCACCACTCCGTCTCCGTCGGTCGCTGCAAAGATGAAATACGTTCTGGTTTCCGGAGGTAAGCTCAATTGCTCGGCTCGGCTGGAAACCAGCGGAGTTACCAGGGTCCCTCGCCTTGTGCCCTCTTGCTAACGAAACCCGCCCGTTCCTCAGGTGTCATCTCCGGCGTGGGCAAGGGCATTATTGCCTCCAGCACCGGTCTCCTGCTCAAGACTACTGGTCTGGCCGTCACCTCTATCAAGATCGACCCTTACATCAACATCGATGCGGGCACAATGGCACCTACTGAGTCAGTATCTGCGTGGTTTTCGGCTTCTCGGTGATACACCTTATTGACATCACCCCCACTATGCTAGGCACGGTGAGGTCTATGTCACAGACGACGGTGGTGAAATGGACCTCGACCTTGGCAACTACGAGCGCTACCTCCTCTCCTCTCTCTCCCGCGATCACAACATCACCACCGGAAAGGTCTACCAGCACGTCATCAACCGCGAGCGCATCGGCCACTATCTCGGTAAGACCGTCCAGGTCGTGCCCCACGTCACCGATGCCATTCAGGAGTGGATTCAGCGGGTAGCCAAGATCCCCGTCGACGAGTCCAAGGCGGAGCCGGATGTCTGCATCATCGAGTTGGGTGGTACCGTCGGTGACATCGAGAGTGCGCCCTTCATCCACGCTCTGAGCCAGCTCCAGAGAAAGGCTGGCAAGGGCAACTTTGTCCAGATCCACGTTTCCTACGTGCCTGTCATCCCGCCGGGACCTGGCGGTGAGCAGAAGACGAAACCCACGCAGAGGGCAATCAGCGATGTGCGGAGTGCTGGTCTCAACCCCGACCTGATTGCTTGTCGCTGCGAGCAACCTCTGGAGGATAGCACCATCAACAAGATTGCCAACATGTGCTCCGTCGAGCAGCACCAGGTCATTGCCGTCCACAACGTCACGACGACATACCACGTGCCCATGCTTCTCGAGAAGCAGAAGCTGATCAGCACCATCACCGATATGCTCGACCTGAAGTCGATCCCCCAGACCCCCGAGCGCAAGGAGCAGGGCAGCCGCATGTGGAACGACTGGTGCGACCTTGCTCGTGGTCAGGACTTCCTCCACGATTCCGTCTCCATTGCCCTGGTTGGCAAATATACTTCCCTTCACGACGCCTACATCAGTGTCTCCAAGGCTCTGGAGCACGCAGCCATGTACTGCCACAAGAAGGTTCAGATCATCTGGGTCGACTCGTCGCATCTGGAGGATGACACTGCCTCCCCCGCCGACTACCACAAGGCCTGGCACGCGGTTTGCACGGCCGACGGTGTCCTGGTGCCCGGTGGTTTCGGTAACAGAGGTACTGAGGGTATGATGAAGGCCATCACATGGGCGCGTACCAACAACAAGCCCTTCCTGGGTGTCTGCCTGGGTATGCAGCTGGCCGTGTTGGAGTTCTGCCGCAACGTCGCCAACATCAAGGATGTCGGCAGCGAGGAGCTGCACCCCAAGGCCGAGAACCATGCCATTGTCTACATGCCCGAGGTTGACAAGGGCAAGCTTGGTGGTACCATGCGTCTTGGCAGACACCCCTGTGTCTTCCAGGAGAACACCGAGTGGTCTCGTCTGCGTGGTCTGTACGGACCTTCCGTCTCGCAGATTGAGGAGCGCCACCGTCATCGTTACGAGGTCAACCCCGACATGATTGAGCAGATCGAGAAGGCCGGTCTCTCTTTCATCGGAAAGGACACCAAGGGCGAGCGTATGGAGATTATCGAGATCAAGGACCACCCCTGGTTCGTCGGTGTCCAGTTCCACCCCGAGTACCTCAGTCGGGTCTTGAGCCCCAGCCGGGCTTTCCTCGGTTTCTTTGCCGCCGCTGCGGGCTGCCTGGATGAGGTCTCCAAGGCAGTTGTGCAGGGTCAGCGGAGCATTGGCCGGAAGCAATAGATCTCTTTGGTGGAGGAGCGGTATTTTGCTGGAGTTCTGGTGAGAAGGATACTGTTGACGGTACACACCGTCTGGGTTTTTCTGTTTTCTGTCTGGGGCAGGTCTTGAGTGCTGCTCTGCTGCCATGCCGTGCGGCAGCCCCGACCATACGACTTGGGGTCTATGCCAGGATCGCGTGAAGATACCCTTGACAAAGACCTGAAGCGTCACCCAGGTCAATCAGGTCAAATTCACGACGCTGCACAAAAAGGAATCGAAAATAATATGTCGGAAGTTGTCTGTTTCCTCAGGTTATGCTTTTGTTGAGATTGCAGGGCTTTTTGACTACGTGATATCACTATAATATAAAAGTATTGAGACGGCCGGTCCATTGATAGATTAAATCAATACAATAGATTAGATATGGTGCCAACACTTCTTCTTCTTCTTCTTCTTCTTCTTCTTCTTCTACTTAGGGATAATGCTCTCAAGTCACACTTAACAAGCATAGCTCGTACCTGTCCGTCATCTAAAGAAATGTTTCCTATGCGCGATATCCACCACAGCATAAATACTTCTTATCCACCAACCACATGCACACACCCATCACTTCTTCCAACGAATGATCTACTACCTCGGTACGGATCATCCTGAAGTCTATACAACTATAGCATGCACTGCGAAGCCCCTGTCCGACCGACCGACCGACCGACCGAACGTTAATAGAGTTTCAATCTAGCCCTGCGAGCCGTTGCAGATCAGCCATGAATCAGACAGACCCTTGGGGACGATCGCTCGGCTTCTACATACAAAGAGAGTATCGTCGGTGCCGATCTATCCTACAACACAACATGCAACATGCAACATACCTGATGATAAACATGAACAACATCTAACAATCAATAGTCTACTACCATCCCGGTATTGATGTAAAATATATTCTATAGAAAGAATAATAATGAAAATTAAATGGTATATACCCAACTCCACCAATGCCAACCAAACCCATTCCATCCCAAAAACAAGACCAAGAACAAGAACCACAGAGAAGAAAATCTATCTCTGCTAAGCAGAAGTCGTAACCAACACCTCCCTCCTAACACTAATAATCCCGGGAAACTTCATCCCGATACCATTCCCACCACCATTAACCGTAGCCCCATTCTTAGGCAATATCGGATACTCATCCACCCTCCCATGGCCATGGCCATGGCCATGCCCACTCTCCCCACCGTCAGCCACATCCACATCCATATCCGCATCCACCCTCTCCCCCGTCTCAACACTATACATCGTCGTCCCATATAACCGCTCATCGTGGCCGTGCATCGCTATGCGATCGTCGAATTCGGATGGTGGTGTGCGCGTCGTGTTGGTGTCGAGGGAGCGGAGCGGGACGGAGAAGTTTCGTTGCTTGTTGCGGGTGCTTGGCCACGGATCGGACGTGTATTCGTTGCCTCGGGTCGAGGGGTTGAATTTGCGGAGAATTGGTCGGAGGGTTGCCATGCTGCCGGCGAAGATGCCCAGGCCGGTTTCGATGTTGGACCAGATTGCTATCGGGGTTGTTGCCCCTGTTATTCTTTGTTAGTTTTTGGGGGAGGGGGATATGTTGGGGGTGGAAAGGGGAGGGGATAGGCGTACAGAGGTAGTCGACGCTGTAGAGGGTGTGGATGTAGGGGATGCGGATGAAGACGGCGATGGAGGCACTGTTCATTTCCATTGCGATTAGTATGTGTGGTTGAGTGGAGGGTACTAAAGGGTATATTAGTACATACACGCAAGCCATACCCAACAGTCCAGCGACGGCAAATTTAACATCGCGCTTCATGTTGAGTTTCCGGACGAGCAAGATCGGAAGGATAGCGATAGTGAGGTCGAATAGCGCAGAGGAGGCACTAAAGGCGTACAGTCCGCCCACGATGATGTGCATGTTCATGCAAGATCCGGGGCCTTTGTATGCGGTGGATAATTGGTTCCAGAAGTACGACATGGGGTGGCATTGCACGAGGACCATGATGAAGAAGATGATTCCGGCGATGACGACGATTCCTCCGACGAGGCAGACGGTGATCCGGTGAGTTCGGTCGATGGTCACGCGCAGGATGAAGATGCTGACGGAGATTTTGCACAGGATAGAAGCAAGAGCGTAGCCGATGTCGCAGTAGAACCAGTACTGTTGGTTATATTGATTAGTGGTGAGGATGGGGGAATTATGCTGTGAGGTTGCAGTGTTTACCTCCATTGCGGTCGTCCGCTGGTGATTGGTTAACTCGGTCAAGTGTTTCCCTGTACCGTATAGACTGCCTCCGATCATGCAGCCTGAGAACATGGCGTAGAAGAGCTATTCCCGACGTCAGTGTATGTTCAATTGGACTTGTAGAGGAAGAGGGTAGCTCACCAATGCCAGAACCATAACCCCATCATCCCACCCAAACGCCTTGACAACTGCCAGGCGGACATAGCATCGTAGAATCGTCGTCACAGACGCCAATGCAAAGAAGACAGCAGCTACTGCTCGTACTTCTAATGACCGATCCACGGCCATGATGGTGATGCGAGCTGGCCAGCAGGCGAGAGGTGACAGCAGCAACAACAGTGTAACATTTGAAACCCGATGGAATGGGAAAAAAGATATTATGAAACAACAGTTGCCATAAGCGAACGTGACGTACTGGCGAAAAGAATGGTTAAACTCAACTGCCGACGATTTCAGCGACGCCGCTCATGGGCGTTAGGGGTCCTGGAACACCCATGGATGAGACGCCGATGGAAACAGGTCTGACTGGATGAGACGGCACAGCACGGAAAGTTTCAGGTCCACTTGCGCAGGATAAGTACCGTAAAACAGGTGATGCTGTGAGGGGAGAGGGGCGAACTGTGCTTGTGCGCCCGTTGGGAAGTAGATGAGATCTTAGATTAGCGATCAGGGAGTCCACAGTTGAGACTTTGGAGAGGGAGAAGCCTACTACCAGTGGGTCTCGCGACGGGGCGCAGGCCGAATTTTTCAGCTGAACCACGTGGGATCCGCCGCTGAATGTGGCCACTGACTGGTCGCTACCACTGAAATTAGGTGATTCTGGTGTTTGTTCGTGTTTGTGAGTCGGCTTTGGTTCGGACGTTTTGCTGTTTGTTGTCTGTTTACCTTGAATGCTGGTCCACTTGCCCTGGCGCTCAGGCCTTCGAGGTTGAGGACCTCACTGGATGAGCAGAGACGACACTACAGCCAGCCACCTGACTAGTCCTGCTAGTAGTGCGCTGAGGATGCCATGCTGCACGGTTAATTATAAGATCACGAAGGGTTGCTGGGATCTAGACCAGGGTCTTGAGGAAATTGTCAGGGGGGACTACTGAGATTGTTTGCAGTGTCTAGCCCATCGTGGATTCTACCGATGTAGCTCATCCCGAGGTACAAGTAACACACCAAATCCTCCACAGAAGTCCACACATGCCTGCTAATGCATAGTATAGCTTTTCACATAACATGGATATATTCGCTGTGTCTCTGCTTCCTGCCTCAGGCATTCATAATAGTGCTCGAGTCATGAACTCCGGATGCGGCAGTGGGTCGAACCGCACAGATGAAGCAATAAAAATGAAACGAACCCATGCCAGGAACACATCGCTACGCGGCAATACGAGATTAATGAATATTTGGAGACAAGCAAAACTCAATTATTAAAGTATTGCCTGTCCGATGGGTTTGTAGCTCCACTGATAAAAGATTTTATTGTGCTGCCATGTGTCCCAGCTCGATTAGATCGGGGCTGCGGACCCTTCTCATTTAAGCATGGGCTTGCGACTGCTTGCTCCTGAATAGAAGGTTCGAAGCATATGGAAAGTGAAATAGCTGGCGGTGCTTACTCGCACATGTTGAACAGAGCAACGGTGGGATCGTGATCCGATAACTCATCGTCTGTCGACACCCACGTGTTGACATGGATATGCTCCATCTTCGCCCCGGATGTCAACGCAGAACTCACATATATGTGGTCTAGTGATTCGCAGTTCTGGTTATAGAGATAGGTATATCTCTCCGTTGTAGGAATGCCAGTAACGTCCTCAAGGTCCTGCAGCTTGGACTCGGAGACAAACACCTCCAGAGGCTCGACAGACGCATACTCGTTAAAGTCACCGGCGGTGATAATTTTCGCATCGGAATTGACATCCAGTATGGAGGTAACAAATTTCTACGCCATCCACGGTTAGATTCTGTTCGGTTCCAGACAAACTCAACCAAGATGAGAGAAATCGTTAGCGCGAAAAAAGTACTCACAGCAACCACTTTAGCCTGGTCCACGCGGTTCTCCACCCATCCGTTGACGGGGGGTCGCGGATCGCCCTCCAGCGAAGTGCTGTCATATTTAGAGGTGAAATGCACGTTGATCGTGTAGAAGGTGTTCTTGCCGTCCAGGGTCTCCCATTGGGCTACCAATGGCTTGCGACTGTCATCCCATGCCTCGTTGGAGGGATCAATTAGACCTGGGTTATAGCTTAGGCTGCCGTCGGAGAGGACGGAGGTGGAGTCATTGCTGGATCCGGGATTGTAGTTTCGCAGTCGTACCACCGATGGGTCGTAGAGGTAGGCTGGCCGGATATTACCGCCGCGTTCTCCGCCGCTCGTGTCATTATCCGGGTCGATGTCAGTGTAGTTGTACGCGACTCCGCCGTGCTCTTCGATCGCACTAGCGAGCTTGGACAGTGTCAGGCTGGCGGAGACGACTGGTGTCAGGAATGTCAGTGACATGATCTTATCATGATGTTGTGGAGAGGATTGAGATTACCGCCATCATCAGTTGCTCCGCTATTGTCCTGGATTTCCTGCAAGAACAGGACGGTCGGACTGTTCAGATACTTGGCGATGTGCTCTCCAATCCCGCTCATGGTGCTCGAGTCCGGAGAGAAATTGTCAACATTGTAATCTCCAATGGTAATGGAGCTGCAGGTTCCATCCGCCTTGAGGGTCGTTGCCGTGGCCTCCGTGGTGTTGGACCCAGTCTTCTTCAAGGCAGTCAGGGGTAGCAGCGTGTAGAAGCCATATGCCTGTGTGATAATCCCGGTTATGTCTTCGAGGGTGTCTCCCAGTTTGGTATCAGTTGGGTTCTTGGTCCCATCCAATGGGGAGCCGATGACGATGGATTCTGGGTTGGAGTCTACAGTCAAACACCAAGTCAGTAAGCTAATTAATTGACACGATAACGTAGTCAGGCAATCAAACCATTTGCACGCATGGTCAGCCCGCCCCGGTCATTCTTCCCCGTCACTGGCCAGTCCCCAATTACCCAGGTATCGCCATAAGAATTGGCTTTGCTGATGGCCGTGAGTCCAGTCAAAGTAGCGAGTTCACCACTCAGGCTCTGCCAGAAGTCCATGCCATACTCGGTTGGGTCCAACACAGGATTCTTAGTGGAAAGCCGACTAGAACCGCCGGGTAGGCTGAAGACATCGCCATTGTCCAGGGAAGAGTACTGCTCAGTAGGAGGATCCAAGCCATCCTTTCCAATGACGATGGGAGTGACGGTGTTATCACTGGACAGCACCTTGATGTCGGATGGAGACTCGATCTCAGTGGTATAGACGTAGCTGGATGAGGATCGGTATTCCGCGACCTTTCCACTCAGGGTGACAATGTCGCCGACCGTGACTTTTGACACTCCACTGCTACCATACACGTAAACAGAGTTGGAGGTCCGGGAGTCTGAATCGGCATCCGTGGCGCGAATGTAGAACCCGCTGGAACCTTTAGCTGTGACAAGGCCTTTGACACCAGAGACACTTGTTCCTTTGTAGGAAGAAACGTATCGGTCGCCATTGATCTCGGGTATGGTCACGGCCAGTGCGCTCTGGAAGAGCAGGGCTGCTGCACACAGCGAGGGGATCATGTGCATGATGTGCAAGAGATCTGCAGCTGCGTAGCGAATTGTTGTTCGAAAGCGAAGACCGGCATTGTGAAGAGAATGCAGGGTTCTTATAAGGTGACTGTTGCCATGTGGATGAATATTCCTGGATTACGGTACATCTCTACATCAATGTATAGCAGTAGTATAGATAAGTAGTGAACAGACACCCGTATCGAGGGCGGCAGTGGGAAATTACGGTTAATTAAGATAAGAATGCTGGCAGCCACTGACAATCCATCGAAACACCCACGTTTGAGACATCCGATGCAGCCAAGACCTCCCCGATGTCACGTCGGTCGGAGCCGACGGCCCTGAAGAAACCGGGAGATCATAATGTACCTGATTACACCGGAGTAGTGGGAGCAGTAAAGATAGAGCTGGCGGAAGAATCTTCTTGCTGATTACTGCAGTTCAAAGCCTGCCAATGATGCTCGCTATTCACACCCACATGACATTCGTTACCCAAATCTATGTTCCTGCAACTGGCACACCGTGGAGCCTGCCGACCACAAGATGGCCTGGCCTCCTCTAACTCCTTCTTCGCCTTCCCTCTGCCCGGTACCTGATCCCATCACGCGTAAAATCTAAACCCATTCATTCGTCAAAAGACCTTTTAGCTGCTCTTGCTCACATCCTGTTTCAAAGAAACGATGCGGTTCAGCACAACCCGGTCATCCGTAGAATCCGAATCGACAGCCTGGCATACCGGTTAGCATTTGATTTCGGAGCGGAAAAGATAAAGGTTGCAGGAATATAGTCAGGGGAAACTCACGAAGTAAGCAACACGCATCGCCTGGAAGCGGACACTTTCCGGTCCACTCTTGGTCTTCTCTCCCGCAGCCTCGGGCCAGGGAGCCCGGCGGCGCACCTCATCAAAGCCGGCCTCAATCAGGGCGTCGCTGTAGATGGTCTCACTGTTGGGGTTGATGTCCTTCAAGAAACCACCCTCCACAGAGTTCGGGTCATCCGACTTGAACAGTTGGTCGTGGATGCGAACCTCCACCTTGCGCGAGTTGTCCGGGACCCAGTGGATGTACGTCTTGGGCTTTGCGCCGGACCGGTCCAGAACGGCCCGGATCTCCGTGACCTTTCCTTCGGCATCCTTCGTAAAGGTCGTGGCCTTGAGGGGATAGGGAGACCTCCACAGACCGACACTCTTGCCGGGGGCAAGACGGAAGTAACCCTTGCTATCCTCCTCGCGGAAGTCGGAGCGGTCAATGTAGACGGTCTTGGTGAAGGGAAGCTTGTGGGAGCCCATCTTAGGGTCCTTGGGCGAGAATGGCACGTCCAAGTCAAGCTCCTGGGCCTCAAGGGATTCAAAGTCCTCAATGACAACGGGAACGGGGTCAAGGACCAGCATCAAACGTGGAACACGGGTCTCAAGGTAGGTACGAACAGACTGTTCGAAACGAGCAATCTGGATGACAGACTTAGAGGTAGTCACACCCAATTCGTTGATGAAGGAAAGGATGGCCTCCGGGGGAACACCACGGCGACGCAGCGCGATCAGGGTGTACAGACGGGGGTCGTCCCAACCACGCACATAACCTTCATCAACAAGCTTCTTCAGTTTTCTCTTGCTCATGACCGTTCCGCTGACCTCCATGCGGCTGTATTCACGCTGCATAGGCTCGTAGACTTCCAAGGTCTTGTTGAGCCATTCGTAACTCTCACGCGACAATACGAATTCGGTGGTGCAAAGACTGTGGGTAATACCCTCGAAACTATCGCACAGGCAGTGGGCAAAGTCATAGGTGGGGTAGATCTTCCACTGGTCCTTGGTACGGTGGTGCTCCGCGTTGAGGACACGGTAGGCAGCCAGATCCGAATACATCTGTGGGTTGGGGTTGTCAAGCTCCTGCTTCATGCGCAGGAACGCCGTCTGAGGTGCGTACTTTCCGTCGCGCATATCGCGGAATTTTTGCAAGTTGGTTTCCACGTCCTGCTCGGCGTCCTTGCAGCGGAACCTGGGGCCATTCTTCTCACCACCACGCTGCAGCTTGATCTCAGCATCGCTGCAGTGGCAGACATATGCGCGTCCAATCTTGATCATCTTCTCGGCGAGCTCGTACAGCTTATCAAAGTGGTCACTCGAGTGGGTAACGGCGTGCGGCTTGAATCCTATTTTTAATCGGTCAGTCATGTCCGCATGATTATGCTCACATCTGCCTTACCGAGCCACTCAATGATATCCTCAATCGCGGTGAAGTATTTCTCCTCCTCTGCCTCGGGGTTGGTGTCGTCGAATCTCAAGATCGTCTTTCCGCCGTGGTGTCTCGCGAAGCCGAAGTTGATCGCAATGGCCTTGGAGTGACCCAGGTGCAGGTATCCATTGGGCTCCGGGGGGAATCGGGTCAAGGGAGTAACGGGTCGCTCGTTGTAGACATTGGCAAGGAAGCCCTGCTTGAACATGGCGTCCGGGTCGATGGGGGCCTCCTCCGGCTTGGGTGTCGCGGGGCCCTGGGACTTCGGGGTCGCAGCAGGCTTCGGAGGAGCGTTGGCTTTGGCGGCCTTTTTGGCACGCTTCTGCATGCGCTTCTTCAACTCGCCCTTGGAGACCATCTCACCGGTCTCCTCGTCGAGCTGAAGCTTGGCAGTGGCTTCCGCGATTGCGTCCGCCATCTTGACGTTTTGTCGGAGGGGTTCTCCAAGCGCAACAACTGGGTATAAATGGGTAGGTGGTGCCTCGAGAGGAGGGTATCCGCAGCAATTCCCGGATGAAGCTACCTCAAGCTAAATGCCAGGAGAGAGCGAGCGGCGTGAGTCGCGTGAGTCAAGGATGGGCAGCACCAGAATGTTTGGTTATCAGCGATCGGCGGGGGAGGGGAATCTTTTGTGGCGGCTTATGTCATCGTCGGGCACCGTCACGTGAGACTACCATGACTGCCTGGTTCTTCAGGCTGACAATGACTCTCCTCATTGTAACTGTCGTTCCCTTTACTATCCATATAGTCTAAAACAATTTCAATAATTTCAAAGTCTAAGTACATTGAACTCGTCGTTGTTACTAGAACTAGTGCTTATCACTTAGTTCTACTACACGTTAGTCCTGGTGATATATATATTGGCCGGGCTCTGCGGGTCATCATAAAGTTGTTGGCACAACCATAGTACCACTCCTTTCAATAGTTGGGATGTTAGAACATGATGATAGTAGTATTTCAGGTGAGATACTACCCGATCTAACTTGACTAAGAACCACCCGACTTTGAGTCTTAGTAGTCTGTAGACTCCTATTGCTGATCTGCAATTTCAGCCTTCTATTAAAATTTCAAAGAGTACAGCAACTACAACGGAATCGCAAAGGTTTCTATACCCACCCTTTCTTGAATCAAGCATCGACTACATCATATTGCTTAAGGTCATCGATTATTTACATGGGTATCCTCGGCATTTCCTCCTTCGTCCAGTACCGTCTCATATTCTCTGCTCCAAGGGTCTTCACCTCCTGGTCCAAATGCGTCCATAGAACCTCCCTCCACCCTTCCATCTTGCCACGTAAAACATCGAATTCCAACTCTTGCTTTCCCTCCTGACACTCCTCTAGATACTTTTGGAACTCTTCCAGTCCCTTATGGATCTGTCGATGCTGTCGCAAGAGTTCAGCAGCTTGGCGACCCCGACCCGTGCGAAATTCGGGCATCTTCTTCGCCAGATGAGGGAAGACATGGTTCTCTTCTATACTATGGTGAATCTCCAGATGTTGAGCAAAGCGCAGTCCCTCGGCGATGAACTGCCGCATCTTCATATACGGAGGTAGTCGGCCGCTAGTCGAGGCCTCCCAGAGCATGTTCCATGATAGACGGAGGAGTCCATGCTAGATAAATAGGTTAATGATAACGAGACGATCGCCTGCCTTGGATCGAGATAGTAACTTACGTAGTACTCCATTTGCTCTGCTGCTCGATTATATATCTTAAAGTCCTTCGCCGATAGCGGCGGCTCATTTTGCTGCTCGGTGTTGGTCATGATGGGCGTTGCAGCTGCGTTCGTCAACAGTCGACCTGGCAGATAAGGGCGCAGCCTCAAGGACGAGAGAGACGGTATTGGCAGCAGAGATATGCGGCGACTGGCGTGAAACATGAATGGGGGTTCAATATGCAGTGTAACAAGACTACGGATGCGGATACTTTCTCACATAAGCCATCATGAACGGATCACTTCCCCTTGAGAGGGGATCGCAGAGAATACCTACCATGTACTGTTGTATACCTATCTCATTAATACTGATCGTCGCTGAGCGTCTTGCTAGGCAATGGCATAGTATTTCTGGTCCTAATCCACCAGTCTGCGGGGAAGAAATTGTAATTCTTGAATCCGGGAGGAAATGATTTGGCCCTCATTTGTAAGCCATGACCAATCAGCACCCAGTACTCACCCCACCCATGATTTATACTAAAAGATAGAAGATTAATGTGAATAATTAGATGGAACAATCATTTGATACTTTGTTAGAATATTCTCATAGTTTATTGGGTATGTTTCAGACTGTGTGAATTGCTATATGCACTTGATCATAAGAGAAACAGATGAACGAGGTCGCGCTTCGCGTCGCCTTACCCGTTTGTAATCACAATTTTAATGATATCCAAGGACAGAGATTAGTGTAAGAAAGGTAAAAAAATAATTATCGTTAGTCAGTAGTTCAACTTGTGAGATTATAAGAGTATAGGAAAAGAAAGGACATAATGAGTACGTATGTACCTTCTCTCGAATGATATTCCTTTGGATGAGTTCGGAGTGTACCTTCCTCGGTCATGTATTCCACGAGTTAGTAACCATGATTGACAATGGCAACAATATGTTGAAATGAAATCTCATAAATGCAAAAACAAGGTAATCATGGCCCGGTTGGTAAGACATCATACAATAAGACCAATAGAAGAGCAGCAATAGGTAAGCCACGCACAAGAAAGTGTAGATCTTCAAGTCAGATGAGTAACCCTTCCGTCAGTGAGAGATAATCAAGGTGAATACGAGGAGCAGCATCACAAGCCACCAAGCTAGTCTTGTCAGCTTCCAGGAG